ACAGGGTTGCTGGGTATCAGAGTAAAGATCATGCTGCCCAGGGATCCAGGTGGGAAGCCTGGCCTTGCGAAGCCTCTGCCTGGCCGTGTGAGCACTGCGGAACCCAAAGATGAGATCCTGCCCTGCACTCCCATCTCAGAGCAGAAGGGTGGGAAACCAGAGCCGCCTGCCATGCCCCACCGGTCCCTGCTGCATAACGGGGCATTCCTGGCAGCAGTATCTGAAAATGGAAGCTGCTGTGTGGAGACAATTAATCTTGCACAAAAACAAAGAAAAAGAAAAGAAGAAAAATATCACACAGTTATGCATCTTAGCAGAGAGGGGAAAGAAGTTGAGTGAGCATACACCAACTCGCAGATTTTAATTAAAGAATGTGTTTTAGGCTTGGTTTTGAAAGATAAGCGTTGAATACATGGAAAGCATCGCCTGGTGACAACAGAAAGGTTTGGAGATGGTCATTAACCTGCCGGTTGTTAAACCTTGTTGATATCACATTGAAGTAAGATGAAGTCAAAAGGAGAGGCTTTGAATATCATCTTCCTCGGTGTTCCAGTTTCTTTACCTTTTTCAACTTAAAAAAATTAGTTGTAGGATAAACCCAGGGTCTCAGCACTTTAAAAAAATTTTTTAGGGCTGGCCAAATAGCTCAGTGGGTTAAAGCACCTGCAAGCAGGCACAGGGGCCAAGGTTTTGATCCCTGGTCTGCCCCACCGGCCCCACCCCCAGGGTGTGCTGAGACAGCAATTGAGACTGGGCATGGTGGTGCCTGTAATCCTAGCTCTTGGGAGGCTGTAAACAGGCGGATCACTATGAGTCTGATCTAGTAGTAAGACCCTGAACACCTATAGACCCTTCTCTAAAATACAAAAAAAAAAAAAAAAAAAAAAAAATTTTAGAGACAGGGTCTAAGTGACCAAGTGACCTAGGCTAGGTTTAGCTTGCAATTCTCCTGCCTCAGCCTCCTCAACATGCTGGGATTACAGGCTTTCTCTAGCAGGCCTGGCTAAAAATCAAACTCTATAACTTTTGGAATAGATTTTTAATGTATTTCAGTATTTTCTAATGATTTTTTAAAAAACATGTATTTGGTACAAGATCTCACTACACAGCTCAGACTCAGTGATCCTCCTGTTTTGTCTCCTCAGTGCTGGGATGACAGGCATGTGCCACCATGCCTGGTTTCGGTGTCCGGCTCCATAGCCCTGGGGTGGGGCTGGCACGGCATGCAGTATTGGGAATCAAACCCCAGTGCTTTCGCTTGCCAGGCAGCCCTTAGACTGCTGAGCTATCTGCCCAGCTCCAAATTTTCTAATGACTATGAGATAGGAATCATACTCTTAACTATTTCTTAAAATCCGTACAGGTTTCCCATTAGCAAAGCTACACTGTAAGGGCATGGGGTATGGCGGTGGGGGGCAGGCTTAGCATGTGCGCCGAGGCCCGACCTGGGTTCAGACTCCGGCACCCAAAAGCCAAAACTCTGCCAGGGTTGCATGCCCTTTGACTCATGTCTTAGCATCTTAGCTAAGTGATCTTTCTCATTCTCTTTTTTTAGAACTAGAAATGGAACTCACGACACTGATGGCGTTGTCCTTACCAGGCAGGCTCTTGTGCTGCACAGCCCCTGCTTGATCTCTCAGAGTCTCCATCTCCTTATCTGTAAAGGCGCTGTTGTGCACACTTGGCTGGGCTTGGATGAAGTTCACATAGCACACACTTAAAGCACTGAGTTTCAAGGCTCAATTAGAAAGTCACCTGTGGATGAGACCCAGAGAAATGCCAGGAGCAGGTGCTCAAGTGTGGGCAGGGAGGATTACGATGCAGGATGGGTTGTCATAACGGAAAAGCAATATGGCTAAGAGTCCAGCTCTGGGACCCGGCCTGGCTAGGTTCAAGTCTGGGTTCTGCTATTTTTCTGGGGTGACTTTTTTGTTTTGTTTTTTTTGAGACAGTGTCTCACTATGTAGTCCAGGCTGGCCTTGAACTCATTGGTGATCCTCCTGCCTCAGCCTCCAGAATGACTGGATTATGGAATGTACCACCATTTCTGGGTTGACTTTGGATATGTGGCTTATTCTGACCTTGTCTGACAATACAGACAGTAATTTTAACCTCAGTATTCTTTTTTATTTTTTAAAAGTACTTTTTTAAAGCATACAAAATAGTAAAAAAAAAAATACAAAATTTCATTAAACAAAGTGATAGGAATTAAAAAATGGTTGCTGTGTTACATGATGTGATCTTCAAATTAGTTGTTTAGGTTACCAGATATAAACCTGTAAACTTGGTTAAAACAACAAAGTTATAAGAAATGAAAAAGAAAAAAAATATGTATTAACTGCTTCTTTCAAAAGACCAGCAGAAAGAAGGAGTATAATTACCCAAGCCAGCTTGGACTGTGATGCGAGGAACAGCCAGATCTAGAGGACCTAAAACTCGGACAGCTCCTTGGTGTTTTGCTGAAATAATCCTTTTGGTGTTCCTTTTCTTAAGAGCAAGACTAAGAAGAGAATGGAAATCTTATTGCAGGGTGAGAAGAAAGATGCACAACTTTCAGGTGGACTGAAAATCAAGGAAACTAGGAGATTGCTCCTCTGGTCCCATATGCAACAGGCTGTAAAGAAACCCCAAGATATAGAATGGCACATAAGGTGTATAGCCAGTTGCTGCTTTCTCCTCCTCCTCCTCTTCTTCTTCCTCTTCCTTTTCTTCCTCCTCTTCTTCCTCTTCCTCCTCTTCTTCTTCCTCTTCTTCCTCTTCTTCCTCTTCCTCCTCCTCTTCCTCGTCTTCCTCCTCTTCTTCTTCCTCTTCTTCCTCCTCTTCCACCTCCTCTTCCTCCTCTTCTTCCTCCTCCTCCTCTTCTTCCTCCTCTTCTTCTTCCTCCTCTTCTTCTTCCTCCTCTTCTTCCTCCTCCTCTTCTTCCTCCTCCTCTTTTTCCTCCTCCTCCTCTTCCTCCTCCTCTTCCTCCTCCTCTTCTTCCTCCTCCTCCTCCTCTTCTTCTTCTTCTTCTTCTTCTTCTTCTTCTTCTTCTTCTTCTTCTTCTTCTTCTTCTTCTTCTTCTTCTTCTTCTCCTCTTCCTCTTCCTC